AATAAATAAATAATACTGCATTTCAGTTAAGGACATAATTGAACTAGACCAGATCATATTACTGAAATCTATATTTTAACAATAAATAAATAAATAATACTGCATTTCAGTTAAGGACATAATTGAACTAGACCAGATCATATTACTGAAATCTATATTTTAACAATAAATAAATAAATAAATAATACTGCATTTCAGTTAAGGACATAATTGAACTAGACCAGATCATATAACTGAAATCTACATTTTAACATTGATTAAAATGTTTGATCCAAATTGTAAATACAAAGATATAAGTCCTATAGAAATACGTATAGAGCAGATTAACCCAATCTTCATTGATTTGGATGGGATTTAATCATAATTTTCTTTGAATCAAGGGTTAAACTATGTGAAGTTTTTTTGCCAAATAGAGAAATGTATTCAGGTTTTTAAGAAATTAACAATTTATAGCACTAGAAAGTTGTTCATTTTCGTTATAATTGTGTTTCATATTGGTGCAGAGCTTTTATTGTACTCAAAGAATTTCATATTTATACTCAGAGTCTTTGTAAACTCCATAGGTCAAGTTGGCATTATCCATTTTAGGATATGGTGAACTGAGGTAGAGAAATGGATTGACTTGTCTAACTGTGAGCCTATAGTTGATGCAAAGAGTAAACTGGAGACATCCTGATTCACAACTCAGCCAAGAATCTGAGCCAGTGTACTGCAGAACTCCTGACCACTTTTAGGTTAATAGTATTTTGCTGATTTAATACTCTTCAAAATGCACAATCTTTGGTCCCTGTATGCTGTAAATCTGTCTTATTGAGCCAGCTATCCATTTATTTAACTATTTCTGTACAGTCTTAATTTTTCATGAGTCAGGATGTTTACAAAAAAAAATCAATACAATATAATATCATTGCAGTTGTTGAATTGCTACCTTTTCCAGAATCCAAAAAGGGAAGGTTGGAAACCAGTGATGGCATCTTGAGGAGGGGATACACCACTGCTTCCTTTATGCACACAGGATGACCCCCCTTCCTCAAAGATGAAATAATCACAGCTTAAACCTCCTGGGAACCATGGCTAACCAGGACAGGCATGGATCTACACAGGTGGTAGCACTGACATTCTCAAACACCCTGTCCACTTCCTCAGGATTCGCAGGCTCAAACTCCTGCTTCCTTCAAGGCAAGCAGTACCCCCCTCTCTTTCTTAAAGAGGTAATTATCACCTCCTCAAACCCATAGTGCCATGGAGGCCATGAACTTCTGACCTCCATAAAAACAACACCTATGGCATGCAGATGTTACCTAGCAGTAAAAGCCTAGGCAACCCCCACAGCAGCCCAGACATGAGTGCCAGGAGCTTTGGGCATGCTTTGCTGGGCAGCAGTGGGGCTGGCAACAGCTCTAACTTTGTTCTTCAGCCCTAATTGTACATATAAGCACTCACCCCTATTCACCAGTGGAGCAGTACCTCTGGTCACTGTCAAGGTTTTACAGTAAATCATCACCACACCCCCTTCCCTTGGAGCTCGGTTTATCAGGAACCTGGGGTTTTGTTTTGTGTTTCATTTTTAAAAAATACTTAAATTTACTTTGTTTAAACAGTCAGCTACTGTAAAAATCTCTGGACCATTTAATTTTCGTTCTATTGCTGCTCATGCATTGCTTCTTTTTCTCCCTTTCTAAATTTATCTGCTTTTAGAACAATCTAAGCAATTTCTAAACAATTTAGAAATTATATAGTGAATAGAAAGCATGGGAAAGTATGAAAAGTCATATTAAAGCAAGTTATTGTAAGACAGTTATGTCCATCCTATCCCTTATCCAACCCCAGCTTTAGTACTATGGCATTGTTGGTTATCAAAAGCACCTCAGCAACAATTTACATTTACAGAGTATTATAAGCACAATCTATTACTAAGGATACATGATTCTGCCCCTGTAACTTCAAGAAATAACACTGCTATGTGTTAATATATAGTCACCAAAATGTTTAGTATCATACATTGGCAATTCAGCACATTTCCGTGATTTTTTGGAACCTGACTTTAAACAAAACAGGAATATTTGTTAACTTTTTCTGGATGAGACAAGCTTTCTGACACATTTAAGACAAATTATATAGCTTGTATTAACCTGTATTTTGTATTTCAGCTTGAAATTCAAAGGCATCCCTTCTTTGAATCTCTCAGTTGGAATGACCTCTTACAAAAAAAGATCCCACCACCATTTAATCCTAATGTGGTAGGTGCAATAATTCCTGCTCTTTTTTCATTAAGTCATCATAGCTAAGTTGAATGAAAAACTTTCAGGGAAGGAAGGAGTGAATAAAAAATTATCATAATATTACATAACCTCAAGGAGGATATATCTAGAAACAAATTAGTAAACAGGTGTTTATGTGGAACATCTTACTTACAAGGCCATATCCAACTGTAACTGTTTATTGATAGAATACCATTCACCAGTAGAATGAATTCCTGTTTCCTTTCTCCCCTGCCTTCAGAGCAGATTTTGGAGAATTGTGGGAGATGAAAAGGGAGGGGAATAAGTGGAAATCCCATTGCACAAGTGGAAGTTTCACTGCTTAACACTAGATAGACCATAATATCTGTATACGCAAAACTGTTCTGTTGTATAATTCATTAAAAGCATTTCAACTTATTTTGGAAATATAGGCCTCTTCCTTGCAATGTTTTACATATGCTTTATTTTATAGTTTGGTCCAGATGACATCAGGAACTTTGATGCAACGTTTACAGAAGAGATGGTACCCTGCTCAGTTTGCGTTTCTTCTGATTATAATATTGTAAATGCTAGTGTACTGGAAGCAGATGATGCATTCATTGGATTTTCTTATGCACCACCTTCTGAAGACTTATTTCATTAAGATGAAGATTGGAACGTTGTATATTATCTCTAGGAAGAGTGAAATTATTTGATTATAAACAGTTTCTAAAATATATGCAACAAGTGCCTCATTTGATCTGCTGAAGAACAACTTTCTCTGCTGTAATATGAGGATTCTGGGCATTTTGGATTACATTTTTAGACTGTTACACATGCTGCACAAAGATATTTTTAAAAATACATTTAGGTAAGAGTTCCTAATCTTGAACCTTTTTAAACATGGATGGCTATTTTTCCTTCAGTTTACATTAACATATCTAGATCAGTTGTCTTTATTATCAGCACATCTATTTAATGGACTTTGTAATTATAATGAACTTCCATGCTTGAATTACTACTATACAATTATTTTTGTATACTGCTGTTTAAAAAGATGAGCTTATCCATAGTTTGTTTGCTTAATTGGCAATAGTCACACTACTTTATTAGCTATAAGAAATAAAAATATATACAGTATCACTCAGTTTAATGTAAACCTGTGCCACTGTAGTCATGATGGGCATATAAATGAAGTCATTTACACTTCACTTAAGTATTTAATTCATTCCAGTTATCAAACATAGGAATGTGTTTGCTAAGTTAAGCAATGATGGAGCAAATTAGCATTTAATATTTGTTGATGACAATACACTTCACAATGACTATTTGTCCTCTTCTTGTAGAAGAAGCTAAGTGTCTTTCCCCCCAAGAAATGAAAAAAATTAAACATTACTGCTATTTGTAGAAGGGAAACTCTTTCCTTCTATGTTGAAAGCTAATATATTACAGTTTGATTGTATTAAAAATCTTATTTCCTTGTGATCTGTATTTTAATTTCAGTTTTTTCTTACTTGCTAAACATTTGTACAATTTGCTCTCAAATAACTTACTAGAGTATAATCTTTTTATTTTTGGACATGCTGGGGACACTTATCTCCAGTATAGTCGATGATTTTGAGGGTGTGGGAATGAGTTTCAAAATAGTCCCTTTGTGAAATTTGAATAGGGAAATATTTTTTCTTGGCTTTAGCAGCCTCTGGTTGAATAGAAATCAAACCTTTACTTTATAAAATATTTTCACTTTATAATATAAACAAGTTATTTCTTCTTTGGTCTAGTCTTCCAATTCAAAGTAAAAGGATGAAGGTATTTGAGACAATCAACATAAATTGTAATGTTGCTGTTATTGTTTATTTAATTTTTCTACTAATAAATGGAATTCATATTGACTAACAAAATGGAAGTAAAAATATTTTAAAATACAAATTAAATATATAATTAAAATAATAAAAAGTCAGAAGGATGTGTTATTTCAGGAATTCTGATTTGAATAATGCTAAAAAAATGGTAACCTGTGGAGATGTTTTAACAAGATGTATATACTCTCTATTACCAGCCTGATTAACAGTCTGACCATAGCAAACTAAATAATGTATAGTATATACAAACACAATCAAAATATCAAACCCAAAGCCCACTTTTGTCTTCAATATAGCAATCTTCAGTGGAGTCCTAACTCTAATCCCAAAAGAGTTCAGCTGGCCCATTTTAACCAGTTATGTGCCTCATATGAGATCCAGTTTTCTCACATGAACTACATATCCAGTGAAGTAGCTGGTCAGGTTCATACATCCTTGGAGAATATAGATTATATGGATCAGTTCCAAATGCATTACTGGCCTGGTTTGGGTAGCAAAATTGTCTTGATCATCCAACAGATGACCTCTACCATGAGATTGTAACTTTGTTGATCCTCCTATGAAGCCACCGAGTGAAGTTGTCAGGGATCTTGGGGTTAGGTGCCATTAATATGCCCACATCATCAATCATAGTACAGTGGTACCTCTAGTTACGAACGCCCCTACTTACAAATTTTTTGAGATACGATCAGCTCCGGCCCCAAAAATGTACCTCGACTTGCGAACTCGCCTCGACTTATTAACCGGATCCGTGGCCCTTTTCCGCTCGCT